AATTAATGGAAATTAAGGTTGACCAACTGCAGCCTTTCACAATGATAAGCCAGGGACAGACAAATTGTTGGTTTAGCTTGTGCCAATGCACATGGGCCGCAAAAAACATGAGATGCCATCAGCACACTACGTGGAAGCCTTATCACTAGAAAAGTTGAGGTGGGCCAACGTAGTCCAATCAAAGTGCAGTGACAAAGGCTTACTTGGTCTCTTGGTGCACAAAGTGCCCTAAAAACAAATGGTCCTGCCATGCCTTGCATTTGCCAATTAGGATATGACTGGAAAATAAATTGGAAGGTAATGGTGGTAAAACATGACAGAGAACAGAAGTACTATACAGAGCCATTTCAGACAAGAGGTGAAGAAAGTATTCTTCGGAGGATGTCACCTCTTGTCTGGTAGGCAAATTGGCCCTATTGTGTTATGTAAAAATGTGAGTTAGGGACCCTAGATTTACTTTGTTTGGTAAGAGCAGGGAAGGAACCTTGTAGACTTAGTTAATATTTTTGAAGGAAGATTTTTGCTGTCAATTTCTCTTAGCCATCTATGCCACCACTGCTTCCAGCAAGCCCTGTTGGATTAAAACTGGCATTAAATACTAGGACTTGTACTAGTTTAGCATTAGCCAGTGAGAGGTTGGTCTACTTGTTTGTACAGCAACTGTGTGGGTATATCCACAGCAAATATAACATGTATACATTAAAAAAACTTTCAACAGCTCCACAGTACCAGTGATTTCTGGTCATGTAACTCAAATGTTGTTTAGGCTCTAGAGTCTATGGCCTAAACAACTATTTATTAAGCAAGGTTCTATGGAACCTTTGGGTTACACCAGAGTTTGCCTAAGGTTCCTTGTGTAAGAGATTGACCTCCTGCCAGCTGGCTCCTGAATAGCTCTGGGGTCGATATCACTCCACAGAGCCAGTGGTGTAAGACCAGTGGATCCTCTCCCATCATTTCTCAGGTAAACAGCAACTGACAGCAATGATCTTCTTAGCTCTCTATAGGGTTGACCAATAGTGTAAGGGAGCATTTTACTCACTGACCACCAGTGTAAGGTACAGTCTTCTCATTGACAAGTAATGTAAGGGGCATTCTTCATACTGACCACCAATGTAAGGGGCATTCTTCCCACTGACTGCCAATGTAAGGAGCATTCTTCCCACTGACCACCAGTGTAAGAGGCATTCATCCCACTGACCACCAATGTGTGGGGCCATTCTTCCCACTGACCACCAATGTATGGGGCCATTCTTCACACTGACTGCCAATGTAAGGAGCACTATTTTCACTGACCTCCAATGTAAGGAGCATTCTTCCCACTGATCACAAATGTAAGGGATATTTTCCCACTGACCACCAATGTATGGGGCCATTCTTCCCACTGATCACAAATGCATGGGGCCTTTCTTCCCACTGGCTGCCAATGTAAGGAGCATTCTTTTCACTGACCACCAATGCAAGGGCCCATTCTTCCTACTGACCACCAATGAAAGGCCGATTCTTCCCAATGACCACAAATGCAAGGAATATTTTTCCGACTGACCATCAATGTATGGGGCCATTCTTCCCACTGATCACAAATGTATGGGGCCTATCTTCCCACTTACTGCCAATGTAAGGAGCATTCTTTTCACTGACCATAAATGTAAGGAGCATTCTTTCCAATGGCCACCAGTGTAAGGACCATTCTTCCCAATGACCACCAATGTAAGGAGAATTCATCCACCAATGCAAGGAACATTCTTCCCACTAATCACAAATCTAAGCTACATTATTCCCAGTGACCACCAATGTAAGGAGCATTCTTACCACTGACCACCATGAAAAATCCCATTCATCACACTGACCACCAATGTAAAGGAAATGTTCACCACTGTTCAAAAGACATTCTTCCCACTGACCACCATTGTAAGGGGCATTCTTCCCACTGACCACCATTGTAAGGGGCATTCTTCCCACTGACCACCACTGTAAGGGGCATTCTTCCCACTGACCACCATTGTAAGGGGCATTCTTCCCACTGACCACCATTGCAAGGGGGCACATCATTGATCTCCGATGTAAGAAGGCTCATTTAAACTGAGCACCAATGGGTACACCTCCTACTACCAATCTAAAGTGATGCTACAGTTTTTGCATTTTAGGCCACTTTTTATTTTGTTTTGGGGGGCGGTAATTACAATTTATTTATGGGTGTCATATATGCAAAGTTCTGTAAGCTGTAATACATTTTAGCAGGGGCTCTTTGAAACCTGAAAATCATTTAATGGCTTCCCCTAGGCTAAAGGGATTGATAAAGGCTGCTCTACACAGGGTAAGTACAGTCAATTAGGGTTAGGTAGCTTAGATTAGAGCAGAGACCCTAGACAGCAAGCTGGGAGATACAAAGAGACAGTCAGATTAAGGCAGAGACAGACATTTTAGCCATAGGCAGATCTGGTCAGGTAGCTTGGATACGCTCAGGCAGCGGTGCAGCTTAGATGTACAGTAGATAGACAGGCTGCTTGGGTAGACGCAGACAGGTAAACAGGAGCTGAGGATTAGTGAAGAGACAGGAAGGGAGGGACATCACACAAAATCTTCCTACTACAGGTATAAATTCACTCAGATTAAAGTTACAGACAGACAGGCAGACAGGTCTCGCTAAGCCTACTCCTGTTCATGAGGTGTCAGGCTAATGCAGGGATGGACCCCTTAAACTATCATAAAAATGTCAGATGAAGTAGCTACAGGGGACCAGCCCAGGAAACTGTGCTCAAGTTGCATAATAACTTCCAACACAGTCGGCGAATTATCATTTTACAGAATTTAAATGTACCAATAAAATTAGAACAATATATAAAATAAAATTGAAAAAATTAAAATTGCCATTTGCAAATATATTATTTTCTTACAAATTTTTTTTTTAATCAATAGTAATAGTTACATAGTTAGTCTGGCTGAAAAAAGACAAAAGTCCATCCAGTTCAATCATAGAAAAAAAAAAAAAAAGGCTGGAGAATATCCAAAATTTTCCACATTAATCAATAAATGAGAGTTAAGCCATGAATCGCCTATATATTTTATAGCTGAGGTTTATATCTACTTCTGTGACCCCTTTTTGAATGAAAAGATGTTATCTAGCACTCAGGGGCAGACTGACAACTCATGGGGCCCCCCGGGCAATAGGGGATCATGGGGCCCCTGTGTCCTTACCCAAACTCAAAAAAGCCTATGAAAAAGGTACCAGGGGCATCTCATGGGGCCCCCTACTGACCCCGGGCCCTCGGGCAGTGCCCGAGTTTCCAAATGGTCAGTCTGCCCCTGCTACCACTAACAATTACGTGAACTGGAGCTGTCAAACTGCATCTTCAATTCTGAAACCAATTTGCTGCCTGAAAACTCTTCTTTCTGGTGTTTTCAATGACCCTTGACCCATAGCGATCAATCAAAAAACCCCTCTTAGCTGATGTGGCTACAGTAAACTAAAATTAGACTGAATGCTATTGGATGTGGAACTGTGTGCTGCTCCCGATATATGGCTGGATTCAGGGGCGGACTGACCATTGGGGAATTCAGGCACTGCCTGAGGGCCCGGGGTCAGTAGGGGGCCCCATGAGATGTCCCTGGTACCTTCCATAGGCTTGTTTGGGTGTGATTTGAGTGTGGGCGAGGACACAGGGGCCCCAAGATCCCCTATTGCCCAGGGGCCCCATGAGTTGTCAGTCCGTCCCTGGCTGGATTGTAAAGAATAAGAACATAGTACATACATAGTTAGTCTGGATGAAAAAAGACAAAACTCCATCCAGTTCAACCATAAGAAAAAAAAAAAGTTATAATCCTTCACCCACAGTTGATCCAGAGGAACAACGTATTCTATATTATTCTTTACCAGTCTTTCTCAACCTTTTTAACAAGGAGGAACCCTTGAAATAACATTCTGGGCTCGGGGAACTCATAAGAATAATTATTATAGCTACAGCTAAGGATACATTAGTGTGATAGATAGCTAAAAAGATCATTGGTGATATAACCACTTTGGACCATTGATGGTCCAACCTTTGGAGGAACCCTAGGGTTCCACAGAAGCCTGGTTTTGAAAGGATCTTCTATACTATACTATACTATATGAAACTATACTATGTTATAATAAAACGTATGCAAAAATATTATGTTCTTATCGTCAGATACATACATAAATACAATAATAAATAATTGTTAAATATTTGTAACAGAGTTCTCTGGTGGGGTGGTCGTCCAACGCATATAGTAAAGAATATAATAAATATCTAGAGAGTAAAACGGGTATTGGTTTATAAAAGGACAAATATAAAATGGTAAATTATAAAAAGGCATTAGAATAATAGGATTAAGAAGAAATAAGAGTTTTATAGTGGGTCTATTTTCTTTTTCTTCCTGTACCCTCTATCGCCCCCCCTTCCCCCATTCCTATTATTACAATGCCTCTGTGTAACTTACCATCTTCTATTTGTCCCCTTATTTACAATAATTACATCACACTTTTAATGTTTTGTACCTCCTCTACCTTGTCCCTTTTTTTTTTATTGTCTCTTTTTTGCCCCTGTCTTCTATTGGTCATCATTTCCTTGACCCCTTTCTCCAGGTTTCCTTCACAATCTTGTCTTTCTTCTTGGTACCCACTGATGGTCTGGTTTTGCCTACAACCACACATCTCTTAGTTCTCGGAGATCCTTAAATCCTAATGTAATCTCTATAATCTTTCGATTTTATCTCTAAATTCTTCCTATCTCTCCCCACATTTCAGCTTTTGTCTACCCCTTTATTTTCTGTTGTTTTTTTTTACCATTTTTACTTGCTTACCGTTCTCTCCATCCTGCCAATTATCTCCTGTCCTTCAAAACTCGTCTTTTAGATAATATCTACAGACTTTGACTATAGATCTTGTCTACTGTCTTTTGTTTTATTGTTTTAAGCTTTATGTATCTATCAAGTGACACTCTTTTGTGTCCACATCAGCCCTGTTTTCATTTCCATACCTGGCTCCTGAGGTGGGGCCTCCCGAAAATGTCCATAAGATCGATATCCACCTCCATACTGGTAATCATCCTTGGGCATGAAGCCATCAGCCCCTACTAGCCCACCCATGGTAAATTGGGGGTGATGGTGGTAGCTGTAGGGATTAAGCGACTGAGAATATGCCTGACTCTGGTAGTAGTCATGTTGGCTACCAGCTAAAGGACCGCTGTAGTAGCCCATGTCCGTGGCGGTTGACTCCGGTAGGGTGGGCGAGTCCTTTGACACCGAATGGCAACTCATAGAGGTGCTGAGGTCGGTTAATACGGCCATCTTCTTTTCATAGGTCCCACTCATGTTACGTAAAGCAAAGTCGATATCCCAGTAGATATTCACACGAACATCCCTGCTGAGCTCTCTTGCACTTCTGCCTGTACAATAAAGCCAAACCAAAGCTTCACAGACCAGTTCTGCTCCATAATTATAGGGTAGAGAAGGGAGGGTCTCGCATTCCTATTGGCTCCAGGAGGAAAGCCTTCCAGGCAAAACAGATTTCTTCACCAGCTCTATATTTATGTCTCAGCTTCTTGTCAGTACAAAAAGAAAAAAAAAAAACGCACACACACAAACACATATATACTCGAGTGCATGCAACTGTATATTTATATGAAAAAAATGCAACTGTATATTTATATGGAAAAAAAAAAATCCAACATACATATAAGCTACATCTACAAAAATAGTATGAACAGCAACATTGTGCAGAATCCAAAATTGTAAACTATGTGAGTTTAAAATTTAGACTTTCCTAAAAAAAAAAAAAAAAAAAAAAAAAAACCCTGTATGCAAGTCATTCATACAGTTTGTACATTTTATGTGCTAAAGATGTGTGTGTTATTACTTTAGTTTCATGAGCTGTATGTGCATTTTTACACTGTACATGTTTAAAACATTTTTACATGTTTTATTTTTATTTTTTTTTTTTACTAAGCAGGTTTTTAATCAATCAGCTTTTTTTTTTGGAATATATGTTTATTATACTCTAAAATATTAGTAAGTTTGCCCCATCATCGAGTTAGTCAACTAAAAATATAATGATGAATTCATACACAAATTAAAAATATATACACAAATTATTATAAATATTACAAAATATTAATATTTGCAATAATTACTACAATACACAGTAGTAATGTAGTTTAAAATTTAGACTTTCCTAAAAAAAAAAAAAAAAAACACCCTGTATGCAAATCATTCATACAGTAAGTTTGTACATTTTATGTGCTAAAGATGTGTGTGTTATTACTTTACTTTCATGAGCTGTATGTGCATTTTTACACTGTACATGTTTAAAACATTTTTACGTTTTATTTTTATTTTTTTTTTACTAAGAAGGTTTTAATCAATCAGCTTTTTTTTGGAATATATGTTTATTATACTCTAAAATATTAGTAAGTTTGCCCCATCATCAAGTTAGTCAACTGAAAATATAATGATGAATTCATACACAAATAAAAATATATACACAAATTATTACAAATATTACAAAATATTAATATTTGCAATAATTACTACAATACACCGTAGTAATACAGTATTATTCAGCCAATACACTATTTAAACATATTACAAGTATAATATTACAAATATTTCAAATAATATTACAAATACAAAGTTAATCAAAGATAATAATAATTAAAATATTTTAGAGAATATTTAGAGTTTATTTAAAAATGTATATATTTTAGAGAATATTTAGAGTTTATTTAAAAAAAAAAAAGTATATATATATATATATATTTGTTCTTCGCAGCTGTTATCAAAATTGATGGCGAAGAACTCTAGGGAAAATGCACAGGTGCGCGATGGGTGTACTCAAGGGATCCTCAACGCTGTACATAAACCAAACCAGACAAAGTTTCAGCAGCTATAGTTGTACTGTACTAGGATATTCATGTAAAAAATGTTTGATGTATGATTGGTACATTTATGGGTGCATTGATATTTAATTGCCGCTTTCAAAATGGCTGCAGCGCTGCCCAGGTTTCTATGGAGCTCTGCCTACAACATACATGAAACATGGTGACCTGTGCATTTTTCCAGCCTTACCTTTTAAATGTAATGTAAAATAATTTAGAATATTTTTTTTTTCTAAAGTGATTTGCAGACGTGCATTTAAATTTTTTCAGTTAAACGAAAAAAAACAGCTAGTGGTAAAACGCACAATGAAACCTGGACCATTATAATCAATGGTGATGATCAGGCATCTGCGTTTTGTGCATGCAGTTCCAGAAACATCAACGATAACGGCACAGATTTATTGCGGATTGTGTGTGTGGATTGAAATCCGTTTCCCAACCCCTAATATACAGTAATTGAGCTTTGAGAATTTGTGTAGACTCACCTGCTGCCTTTACATTGCTAAAAAGCCTGCATTTGAGCAGAAAATGCGGGAAAAGGCTGCGTTGTACCTGTTTTCTCTGTATTACGAATGCATCTCAATAGCACCTGCTGGATCTAAAGACATGGAATGCAAAGATGCAAAAAATGCTAAAAATTCAGCCTGAGTCTGTCATCCACATATTGGAATCTGCTGATCTGGGTTTGATGTGCACTTTCAAAAAAAAAATGTGTCCTTTCCAAAAAAACATTATCCAATGTGTAATACAACATGCACATAGCTAAACGCACAGCTACGGTGATATATGATTTTATGCAGCTACCTAGCGGTAAGAAGTGGTATTGCAGTTCTTTTTTTTTTTGTTTGCAAAATCATCTTTTGGGTAACAAAAATATCACATTTCAGAATCGCTGTTTCATCGACAGTCCCAAGTTTTAAATAATTATTCCTGAAATGTTTCCTTCCTGGAAATATGTTTAGTTTTTAAAACAGATCAGGTGGCCTCTTTTTTGTTAGATCTAAAACGCAAAATTTGTTTAATAATTTGCATATCCCCCAACAGTGCTGGATTTTACTGGACTGTCTTGGGATTTGAATCAAATTCCAGCATCCTGCAGATCCAGGTTGTGTCCCGCTGTTGGCCCGGGTGTTGGGACACTCATCTCTGCACTTGGCTTTGGCTCTTTTGCTTCTCTGTTGTAGAAAGTGACCTTCTGCCCAACGTGAGTGCCATAGTTCTGGCAGAGGGTTTGGATATATAAGTATTCTACCATTGATCCTCACTAACATCAGTGACCCCAATGACACCAGTGTGCCCCACCCCAATATCAACAAGCACCAACACCCTTCTATCCCTCCAAAAAGCATCCCTCTTCACTGAGCAGCATTGCCCCCTCTTCCCCCCAACCGGGGCATTTTTTCTTCTGAGCGTTTTTCTTCCTCCCGTCAATTTTTTTCTTGCTCATCATATATTTCCATAGAAGTCATCATATTGAACTGGGCATTCATATCTGTCACCCCGGTGGGGCTGTGAAGTGGTTTCCCTTGGAGGCGAGTGGGACATCGCCTTTTCTCTTTTCCCTCCTCTCTTCCTTGGACCTTGGAAATATTGGCCACATCTACGCTATCTATGGTCTTAGCCAATTGGCGGTTTCTTCATGTTTTCTGCCCCTATGTGAGGCCATGTAAGTGAAATTTATATACTTGTGATTGTGACTCTTTTTGGAGATATATGGAGATACGATAATAACGATATATTTATTATAGGTATCATGTTTGTTTAGGCACTTCTGAAGAAGAGATTATTGTTTGTCTCAAAAACGCGTCAAGTGCATGCGTGAATCGTTCTTTGTTTCTCTAATCCATGCATTTATTGAGACAGCTATGTAATGTATTACTGCCATTTCTTGTGTTTATATGTTCTTTTCAGGAGTGGACTGACCATTTGGAAACTCGGGCACTGCCTGAGGGCCCGGGGTCAGTAGGGGGCCCCATGAGATGCCCCTGGTACCTTTTTCATAGGCTTTTTTAAGTTTGGGCAAGGACACAGGGGCCCCATTATTCCCTATTTCCCGGGGGGGCCCATGAGTTGTCAGTCCGCCCCTGGTTCTTTTTAACACTTTGTATAAATAAAACATGGTCTGTAAAGTTTTTACTTACTCTTTGATTCCATTGGTTTTGTCTGTGCCTTTAAAATTCCACAAAAAAGAGGCTTTTTCCATACATGCTTCAATATGGATGATGGCATTTCTTGTTACCACACCCGTTATTTTTCTATTTTTCTTTCTTCCTCCCTCTGATCACCATCTCCGGGCATTTGTTTCCTCCCATGCAGGTGTAAGGCTGCGGTACGTCCACTAAAATGAAGAGGGTGCCGTGTCACTTCTTCAGGCCTACAGCAACTCATTGGGGGCAAAGTTCTCCCCTATCGTGGGATCCAGGTGGACACCTTGGGGAGGCCAGTGTCTCCTATTGGACACCAAAATTTTGCACGATTTAGGTGACCATCTTTGACACAGAAGTTTTTTACTTCTGCTGACCACAAACACTCGCCACATTTCCTCCCATTGACCACAATAAAATGGACACTATGACACATACTACTGACCACTGCACTCTATACATTGTATTTTGCTTACTGTGGTCTGTTACATACTACTGAACAAAGTGATTCTTGTCCCAACAGTTGCTGGGAGTCGTTTCAGACTATTTTAATAAAGGTTCTTTAAGGTTGGCTAAGGCAAAGTGTTAGCTCTTTGTCCACATTCTGCTTTATTTTTTGAAGAGTGACCCTCTAGGTCTCCGTTAGACTATCACTTGTGGTACAGCAGTTGAGGAGTATCTTGTGGGTACAAGGACTGTGGCACAGGGGCGGACCGACCATTTGGAAACTCGGGCACTGCCCAAGGGCCTGGGGTCAGTAGGGCGCCCCATGAGATGCCCCTGGTACCTTTTTCATAGGCTTTTTTTGATTTTGGGCAAGGACACAGGGGCCTCATGATCCCCTATTGCCCGGGGGCCCCATGAGTTGTCAGTCCGCCACTGCTGTGGCATAGATGTTCAATGTGTACTGTGAGTAGGCTTAGACCATATTTAACCATGTTCCTGTAGGCCATGCTCAATATCCATCACAATTTAGCCACACTCACTTTCCTGCATGGCGCACGTCAGATATTTTCTCCTTTTCAGGTTGCCCCTCTATCTCATCTTCTGATGTTAGAAGGTGCGTAATTGGTTCTGCTTTAATTAAAAGGTCATTCAGCTCAAAAGTTATATTTAAGTAGATGGGCCCTGGAGTCAAGTCTTGGTTTTTACATATCTACAGTAGATGACTCTGGTGGTGAGACTGCCCACCTGGGAATTTTCAATATTCCTGATCAGCTATAGTCTATCTCCTTCCCCT